TGTGGAGATGCCTTCACACGACATCAACACCTCCGTGCAGCTGTGGTTGTACAGTAAGCTATTATCATTGGTCCTATTCAAACCGGACAATAGACCGTTCCACCGAATCCAGCAGTGTCCGCCACAATATCGAAGTAAGTGCGCATCAATGATCATTGTTCTCACTAAAAATATTTTCTCATAACATGAGATCTGCAGTTTAGTTTAAAGATAAATTATTGTGCACCTATAGCACTCCTCGCTGTCATTAAAACATAACATACCACAGGAAAAGTGATCTAGCGCATCCACTAAATATGTCTAAATTCATATCATTTTTAACTTCTGCGTAATGACTTTATGTAATTTCAGTGCTTATCTCCATTAATGAGAGTGGAATATTTAATGTAAATATGTATATCGAAATGAAAACAGATTTTAAAATCGTTGTTTACTTCATTACTTTTCTCACTCCAGGAAAAAGAGTGCGTACGCATGGTCTAGAATGTCCGTACGGTGCGTACATATTTACGCCAAGTTTATTTTTTATAAATCCCGATATGTGCGTGGAAAATTGTGTACGCAATTTCTATGCCCATTTTGTGCGTACGCAATGTTTATAAATGAGACCCCAGATATTTGTCAGTGAGCTCAGGATCTGTTGAGCAGCAAATACTCAAGCATAGTCTTGTCAGTCATCTCTCCTTATTCTCGACCTGTGATCAGTCAAATCTGACTCCTGCAACTCTTGTTGGATGCAGGGTTGCCAAGTCTGCGTTCTTTCCACAGAATTGGGCTACTTTTAAACTGTTGCCATGGGTTGTTTTCCCAAGTGGGTTAAAGGTTTGAAAGGTTTGAAATATTGCATAAATTACATTTGACTGAAATGCTTGTATTGAAACAGAAATGGCTGAAAACACATCTCTTTCATCTTCATTTGACCCTCTACTTCTAATTTTATCTCCTTGTTTTTTTTTTGTTTTTTTTAAAGCTTGACCCTCTAACATTTGCACTCTCTATTCTATTTCTATTCTAACTACTTGTTTTATTTATAAAGAAAGAAGAGCCTCTAACACTAGCATTCTCTATTATTTCTCTATTCTTTCTACTTATTTTCTTTTTATTTATTATATATAATGACCTTCTAACACTTGCTTTATCTATTCTTTTTCTGTTCTATTGACTTGTTTTATTTAAAAATGACACTCTAACTAGCATTCCCTATTCTTTTTCTATTCTTTCTACTCGTTTTCTTTTTATTTATTTATTATTTACAAAATAAGCAAACAAACAAACAAAAAAACTTGCTACGTATACTGTTAGTCGAAGCCCCACCCCCTACTGTCCTCTTTTTGAAGAACTAAAATATGGTCACCCTATCATATTGACTAGTCCAAAATGGTGTTATTGTGGACAATGAAAAAAGAGATTCTGAACTGTGTTCACTTTATGGTTAATAAAAGAGGTTTGAGTTTGTTCTTGTAAAAAGTTAAAAAACCAGATTTCGTTTTTTTTCCCCCAAATCATTCAACCCTAAAAGGATGGTTTGCACTAAAAAAGTCTTCAGATGAAGTTCAGCTTCCAATTTTTTATTTCCTGTGCAGATACACAAAATCACAAAATAAAATCACCATTCTATAATTAATTGTTTTCAAACTGAGCTATTCAAGTCACCTGGTGAAATTCTATCTATCTGTCTGTCTGTATATACATACATACAGACAAAACCCAAATATCACAGTGTCTCTTTGTTCCAGTATCATAAAAACATGATTTTTATCCCCCCCCCCCACACACACACACACTTCCTACACTGAATCTGAACCTGTTAGTAAAGCGAGCAGTCACATGTGTGTTGACTCTTTCTGTGTTGACAGGCCTCTCCCAGCAGTCAAATCTCAGACCGGGGAGGACACCTGTGAGAACGATGAGGAGTCTGAGTACATGACTCCTTCCTCTCGGCCAGTGCTGCCCTCTGCTGCAGGGGAAGCTGTGCCTAGACCACCTCCTCCACTTTCTCTCAGTCCCAGGTAAACTTGTTTTAGCAGCCATGGAGGTGTAAAACTCCAAGAGACACTCTGAACAGACTAGACATGGATATCAGATCTATTTCAGTGTACTGACACTCATGTTTACCTCTATAGGAGTATGCTCAATGAAATGGAGTCAGAAAGCCCACAGATGTACGAAGCTATGTACAACATCCAAGCCCAGGCCCTTACTGCCTCTGCACCACATCAGGCCAGAGACTCAGGTACTGTGATGTTTAAAGCTCTTCATCTTTATACAGGCAGTCTGCTAGTGTATTCTGAAATGTGTAATGTTGTGTTTCTTTGATTGTTTAGATTACTCTGAATTGCCTCCTTTGACCTGCTCTAATGGCCCGAGGGATCCTGTTGATGCATGTGGTGTGGAGGAAGAGGAGAACAGCTATGACTATCCCAAGCCCCATATACCCACCAACCTCGCCCGACGCACGCTTTCAGATATTAACCCTACATCCTCAGCCTTCAGCCGCCTTTCCATGGACAGCGAGCTTGGAGCGTCAGCAAGTAAGTTATACCAAGTGTTATTTTAGTATTATTTATACTTATTATTTAAGTACTCTTTAAGTAAATAATAAGGATGTAATATATACGAGTATGTTGTTTTATACATTTATATACTATAGTTTTTAATATTTTGTATTGGCTTGTATATTTATATTTTCATTTTTATTTTATTTAAAATTGTAATTAAAATTGTATTAAATTTGTCATTTTTATTAGGTTTTTTTTAGTAGTATTTCTAATTTTTTTGACTGAAGCTAATAGTTTTAGTTATTTAGTACTTCAGCTTATTGTGTATATAATGTAGTTATCTAATATTTATATTTTATTTTATCTAACTCATCAACAGCCTCAAGCACTCAAGCATCTTTTAATATCAAAAGATTTTTTTAGATGAGGAAGCAAAGTCAGTCGAGTGTGTCCAATCTTTTGATTTCTATTGTAGTCAATATTTGTATAATGTATTTACAGAGCAAATATAGCACTGCCATTTCCTTTTTCCACCTATATTTATTTTAGATCATATTTCAACCCCATGAGAGTGTCATGGCTTCCTTATTTTAGAACAGCGACTGCAGTATGGTCATTATCTCAGACTTCAGTGTCTATATATTGACATTGTTTTTATTCTACTTTGTGTCTTCAGCAGTCATGGACCCCAATGAAGCCCCTGAGCGGCCTCCTAAGCCTCTTCCCCGTCGTATCAACTCAGATCGCAGGCCCAGCCCGGTTCCCCCCGGAGCGAGCCCAGGGCCCAGCCAGCAGATCAGCAGTGAGATCGAGCACCTCTTGAGCCAGGGCTACTCCCATCAGGACATCCAAAAAGCCCTTATGATTGCACAGAACAATATCGAGATGGCCAAGAACATCCTGAGGGAGTTTGTGTCCATCCCTTCTACTGCACATATCTTAACATAGCGAAACTTCTCCGAGCATCCAGCCGCGGCCCGGCCACGCTCGTCACGCATTTGTCTAGACTCCAGAAGAACAGAGCGCAACTTTGCTCTCTAGCTCTAGTGACGGCGAGAGACAGTTTCTCCGTAACACTTCTCGGATTCTCTGTCCTCCTTCGTGTGCGTGGAAGAGCGAGGGGTCCGTTGCGGCTGCTTCTTCAGCCTGAAGGCAACGCATGTCCCCTAAGGACAAAAAAGACAAAAACTTGTATGTGTTTATATATGATTTAATATATAAATCAGAATATTGAGTATAGTTAATATATACACATGTATGTTGGAGAGGTTCAGCTGCAGAGATCAGGGTGTGTGACGTATTAGGCCTCAGAGTCCGGATAGCTAAAGGGAGTTAAACAGCAGACTGCAGCCGAGCATTTTCTGGCGTGAAAAATGGCCTTTACATGTATTGCTTCGGTACGTTTTGTTTTCAAGTGTGTGATTTTCATTTTTCGTCTGTCTAGTAGCATGCCGTACAAGTTGGTCCCCACAGCGCAGTCGCCTGTTTCAAAAATACCACTCAGCCCAAAGCAACCCGTTCTCCGCTTAAACTTGACCTCCAGGATGTTTTAAGCGCATAGTGGTGGCTGGCATCGGAAATGGGCTCTCCGTCAGCCTTGTTAAATCTGTGTAGCATTACTGTAACTGTACTGTACCATGAATTCACTTCCCAGATGTTTTAAGGGCAAACAGTCCTTCAGATTCCCAGTAGGAACGTGCTGCGTGTCTGATGTCAGGGGACACCTAATCTGAATGTGTCATTAATATGGTGGTCTCCGACTTTTGTGAAGTAGTGTGTTTACTAAAGATAGTGTTCTCTAACAGATAAAGGGCAAGAGGTTGGACACGAAGTGATACTGCTTAGTAAAAAAAAAAAAAATTTGCTTAAAAGGGTCCAAGGCCTGGCCAAGTTTCTGTATTCGGTGGGGACTGAAATCACTCTTGGGGAGGTTCGGACTCTTGTATGACGCTGTCCATCTTAGAAACCATTTCATTTGATCGCCTTAATATATTGTTATTATTAATGTTATTATTATTATTTTGATTTATTGTTATTAATACAGAAGTGCTTTACTGCTGCTATTATTGTTAGTGCTAAACAATTAAGCCTTAAATGTACATTTGTGAATACTGTGTTTAACCCATTTTAAAGTGACAGTATCGGTTGTGTGTAATTTGTTAATGTAGCATACTTGAAATCAGAAGCAACTTGCGCAGGTGTAAGCCCAGCTGATTTGTTCAGTCTGTCTCTGTGTGTGTGTGTGTGTGTGTGTGTGTGTGTGTGCATGGGACGTCTTGTTTTCATCCAGGTACGTTGCGTTTTGCTTGAAATACATGTGTTTTCGTTTATTGAAATGGTGAAATGCGTCACGGGGCTCATCGCGGAAGGCCTTATTTCTGTTCTTCCTTGTTCTACGAGGCTTTGGTGTTCAGCCCGTCACCGATTGGATCGATCTTTCAGCAGCAGCCTGTTCAAACCATGATCGCAGTGCCCATAGTCCGCCTGCTGTTAGGGAGAAGGTTCTTCCCGATCTCCCCTTTGTACTCAGGAATACCGTACATTTCAACAGAATCTACATTAGTGACTCCGTACTTTAAACCAGTGCAAGACTGTCTCGTTTTCAGGGCGAACACAATACTAGACTACTTTCTCAATGACATCAGCATCAAATTCATTAATTCTGTGTTCCTTAAAGGGATAGTTCACAAAAAAATTTAATTCTGTCATTAATTACTCGCCCTCATGTCGTTCCAAATCTGTTTTGTCCATACAGTCCAGGTCCAAAACAAAATTGGTCCCCGTTGACTTCTATTGTATGCATAAAAACAAATTTGTTTGAAAGAACAAAAGAACGAAGGTCATTTGGAACGACTTGAGTGTTAATAAATTATGTCGTTTTCATTTTTGGGTGAACTGTGCCTTTAATGTTTCCAGTTATTCTTTGTTATTGCACCAGCACATTTGAATGCACTAGTAATACATTAAAGTGAGTTTGAGTCTCTCATGTGGGACTGGAGGACTCGTGATTGATGTCGCCGACATCAAAACTGGCCCAATTTTAGTTTCTACTAGCCCCCAGTGTTCTTGAGAGTGTTGCACTGGGATTGCAGGTACTTCCACGTCTCAATCTTGTAGGTACACATGCAACCTTGAGAGCTTACGACCAGGCGAGCTGGTTAGTTCAAGTTGTAGGCTGTTAACTCTTGGTTTGTAGATTCCGTTGCCTTGAAGCATATGATGGTTTAATACAGATTTTTTTTTTTTTTTACTGCACCATATGAAGTTTAGAGATGAGAAGGTGATACTTTTTTTAATCATTTCATTTTACTGTACTACTATTTCTTGATAATGATGTGTGATGGTTGTGTGTGAGGTTGTGTGTTACAATATTTGGCACAGTGTACCAATTTGTGCTACGATACTGTCACTTTAAAATCAAGCGTGTAAAGTTACTTATACATAGAATACGTGGAAATGGCAATGTTTTATTTCATTTTTGCATTCCTGTACATGTCAGAATTTTATTTTTGTTTACTGATGTGAATATTACTGTGAGCAGTGCCATATGTTTAGATATGTCCGTAATTTTTGTTCTGCTACCCGGAAAAAAGGCCTTGTTTAGTGTAAAGAGTGAATGATATCCCTCATGAATTTATAGAAAACGTTTCCATTGTCGCTCAACGCTTCTTTGGCTCGGTCAGTGACATCGTAGTGAATATCTGTCTGTTTACTGGAATGTCTCGAATCAGACCACAAGAGGGAGCTCGCTCCTCATTTTGCCATAACTTGCCTGCGTATTTCAGGGTTTCTTTTCTTTTGTGCTAATTCTCATATCACTTTGGAAGTATGCACAGCGCTATACTGTTAATTAAAACAATAGAACAAACATCATGGCCTCAGTGTCTGTCTTAAAGCTTAGTGTGTGTGTGTGTGTGTGCGCGCGCGCGCGCTAAATGATATGCTAGTTAACATTTTTTTCTTCTTACTAAAATGTTTTAATCCAAACGTTTTCTTGGGAAAATAGTTTTAATCGAAAGTCAACTTATAGTTTTCCTTGCGCTCAATTCACTTTGTACCACTTGGCTTTTTTCATTATTGACATCATCCTTCAGGATGGTAATTTTTGGTGGGAAAACAACTGAAAACATGTAACGTTATTAGTAGCTAATGGATGGAATGGAAAGTTCATTTCTGGAAGTCTGGTATAGCCTGTTCTTTCATAGAAATACTTCGACATGACAGAACTGGGCCTGGCTGTGTAAGGGACAGCGTTCACATGCGTTTTTGAATTCGACTTCGCTGCTTTTCTATGGTTTTTCAATGTTAAACGTCGTTAGACAGACGTTTGACCGTTTCTCTGCTTTTACAGAGTTTGAGCTCACGTCTAAAATGCGGCACTCAAGTTATAAGTAGTAGGCTACAACTTAAAATAAATTATTAAATAAAACGCGGCTAACTTAAAGTGTTTTTTTTTTTTTGTATTCCACTCACGTTTTTCAATGCAAAGCCGCGTTCTGTGTGAATGCTGTAATTTTCAATTTATTAGTACCTAAACATTCTAAAATAAGTCATAGCCATATCTGTTTTTGATCTTATCCTCTTTTAAACCTTAAAAAATTTCGAACTATTGTATAGAACAGTTGTTTCTGATGAACATAAATAAATAGGCCAAAGATGACAAAATTAAGGCTCGAGTAAGCCAGCCCTTTTTAATAGAAATACCAGGACAATTCAAAAGCAAGCATTAACAAAAATACCACTGACACAAAACAAAAACGGTGTGACAAACCAGAGGAAATGAAACAGGTGAACTTAGGTGTAATAAGGACTTTTGTATCCAACTGTGGGTCTGCTTTGCATACAGTACAGGGTACATACTGCATAGATTAAGATACAACTTATAAACCTTCAAAATATGGATTGAAATAAAATCAAATAAAATATATACTGTTTAAACCAAAAAGTCTTGAGTATAAAAATAACACCTGCATTTTTTCCTGTTCTACTCTCCCTCCAATATGATAAATCAATTCAGTCTTCCACATGCATTTTAATATTTCCTCTAAAATTTCAAAATGGGAGGGTTGGTCATGTATTTCTTTATTATTTACATTCAGTGCAAGACGAGGACAGCAGGTAATGGCATTTAAAAAAAAGAATACAACTGAGCTCAACAGGACACATCCATTTTTCTCAGACCAGAGGGACATTTTTTAGCTCAAACTGACATTAACGTAATTCACCCGCTCGGCCCTCGCAGTGAACATGAACTTAATTTGATCTAGCTAATAAAATTATAAAAAATAAAACCAGAGGCATGACATGAACCCAACATTTTGCTTACATATTTGGAAAAAAGGTCAACCATGTCAGAGACTTTCCCTGACAATTTATTTGTAGAGAAATTGCCCTCAAGCTTTATCATTGGGCAGTTTCAGTGCTGATCCAGAGGACAGATGAATGTTTACAGTGGTAAAGACGGTTCAGTGCATGGACTATGGTGCGGCAGAGGTGAGAGCAGGTTCAGATCAGACACATCGACAGCACAGCAAATAATGACTCTTCGGCACTCTTCAAATGCCCCTCAACAAAGAGACTTGCATTATCAAAAAGATACTCAAGCGCAACCTTTCAAATGTCTCAGGCATTTTAAATAGCTAAATATATACAGTATTTCATATTTATATACAATTTGTAAATACTGGAGTGGAGTCATCCATAATGAACTTGGTGCTTTTTGGATCATCTTGCTGTATATTGTATCCGATTATAGCATTTCAAATATAAAACATGGGCAGAAAAAAGCAGAATCGAGTGGGAATTCAAGTAGAGGGGAAGATGTGGATGTGTTGTGAGATTGGGATTCACCCTGAGAAGGAGCTCTGTTGGACAGCGTCTCTGTTGTAGCGTCTCTCCCCATATGCATGTAGTTTTCAGTCTTTGACTCTAATTGAAAGAAAATATCATCAGGTTTCCGTGGCACGGCCTTACAAATCTTGGCTCTTGTGTAATATAACGGGAATCATTGTTCTGAAGTAATGACCTATTCGGTGGGGGACTTTTTGTCTCCATTGACTCCTTGTAGAAGCACTGCCTCTTCAGATTTACCGCTTTTCATCTCCATCACAATATCATCCTTACTGGCCTTTTCCTTCGTGCTGGAGAATGAAAACAATAAATGATATTAATGCTTTGTA